TGAAAATATTAAATCAGCACCTTCTATAAAACCCGATTTCCCTCCTGCATGTAAAATTATGTGTCGCTTCCCTTCTCCATCGGCATGTTTGATGAACTTTACGTTATCATCTTGCCATATTCTCTTGGTTGCACCCCTAGAAAATATCCATGTTTCGTCTAAATATATAAAATTCGCCCCTTCTTCTTTAAATTTAGAATATTTTCTTAGAAAGTTAATTCTCTTGTGCACGACAGATCTTCTTTCACAAAAGGCCTTTCTGTTATCCTCCTTTTGAAATTTGAAACCCAAGTTATGTATCACTTGCCATAGACTTGTTCTGCCAATGTCGTCAAATTTTCTATCTATTAATTCCGAGAGAATTGTATTTAAGGTCACATGTTCCTTGTTGGCCCTCATTCGATAAATGGTATCACGAATTTCAAATTTCTTTCCATCTGGAATATCTTTCGTTTTCAATGATGGGCAAGTTTTGCGGTGATCTTCTTTCGGCAGTTCACTATTGTGATTTTGTAATACTCCTCTTAATTTGGTTTCACTAATTCCTAGAGCATCGCATACGCGTTGTTGTACAGACATTACCGATTTTAAAGGAGCGCCATTTTCTTTTTCATCCGTAAAATACTTATGTACACTACAAATTAGACTATCTACATCTAACACACATCTAGGCATTTTTAAAATTGCCACTAAATTTACAATATACATACAATGTACTTGTAACAAATTTAGTACCTACTTTAATGTTATTTTAATTTAAATCTGACCATTAGGGCAATTTTACCTAATTTCTTGGGAAGAGGCTTATCGGAACTGGATGTCAATGACTAATTTGCATAATTTTGTTAATCCGAAACCCGCGTAAGTATAGCGAACAGACTTTTTGTAGAAGGTAAGCTTGCTTATTTTTTATTGTTGTGATAATTTTCTTTTATATTGTAATTTAGGGAGCAACAACAAGTAATAAAATTAACTTGAGGGGTTAAAAAGATTATCTAGCGTTTGTTTTCAAAACTATAAATGAACTATTCGATCTACCCAATTTCTAAATTTTAATGGGGTAAATAGGGACCAATATTTTCGTTGATTTTGAACAAGTGATAAATTATAATTTTTTATCTGGGATTCTTTTTATTTTTAAGGGTTTTTACCGTGGGATTTTGAAAAGAAGTTCACGTTGTTTGGAAACTAGAAGGTTTAAGAAATTTTGAGGAACCGTATTGGAAAGTATTAACTTTACCGTTTGTGTTTTATTTGATTGTGACTTTCTACGACTTTCAAAAAACATTATTGGATCAATCAGTTAGAAGAACTAATAATCATCATTATTATAGAAATAAATATTACTACCAATAAAATAAAACGATTTTTATTTAAATCTATTCTTATAAGTATATTCTTCTCTATAATAAATAACTATAGAAGAAATGAATAAGACAAATCTTATAAATATTGAAGATATTCAGTCTATTAAAATAATATAAATAAATCTTACTGAATTTAAAACAATGAAATTATATTCAATAATATAAACAAAATTTTTAATTATTAAATTAATAGATAAAGGTATAAAAAATAAACTAAAAAATATATAATCGATTATAAATAAAACAAATAATCTAAAATACAAACTATATCTTTGATACCACAAATCAACCCCTTCTACTAGTGAAGAATTTTGGACTGGATAAGTTTTTCTAACGTTGTCAATAGTTTTATATGACACACTATATCAAAGGCTTTAGAGAGATTGGCAGATGTACTTTAGATTGTTTATATAAATTAAATTTTGTTTCGTTTGTGTTTTCCTTTTTACAAAAATTAGTGTTAGTCCATAGTGTTAGAAGTTTTGATACTAAAATATAATAGAAACCACACTTTATAGTCCAATCCTGCAATAAAATATTTTCATATTTATCGTAACAAACGCATTATAATCTTAAACTTTTGAATTATTTATGTTCGAAGGTATCAACATTTGTAGTGAATGCAATACTGCTGGTTGGGTGTAAATATGCACATAAAGTCTTTTATCTTTCGCGGTGCATTCAACGCATCGGTCGTGTATGTACATAAACGGATAGTCATTAATTTATAATGTCCATGCAACTAATTGGTTGTTTACTATATCGATCAAGCGAGTAGTAAACCTACCGCAAAACCATCTTCCGTAATAGATTACATGCTTTTATTCTTTAGTGAATAAAAAAAGGAATGGTCTTAGCTGATTATCTTTAAAATGGTCCATTTAGTAATTCACTACTTTTTTTTATTGATTAATACCTAATAAATTGAATTTTTAATAGATATACTAAGGGATTTGATCTACCTAGTAAGATGTAATTACCACCCATTGTTTTTTTAAACTTATCCGTAGTTTCTTTAAGGTTGTTTTTCAGAATTGATTTTGTTGAAGGTAAAAACCTAAAGCTTATATACCAGGGACGTAGAAAGCAAAAGTACTTTGTTAAAGTGGGTCTTAGATACTGGGATAATCAGGACAAAGAGTGTTGCCGTTTCCTGACGCACGAATACGATTCAATTTGGATAGTCTGGCTACTGGTGAGATAATGGAGCATACTTCAGAATAACAGGGATTATTGGTACCTATAAAAGAGAAAAAACATCGACCGCAAATCAATGGTCAAGAAAAGAGAGTTTTTTTAGTGATAGGTATTAAAGTCGTTAATTAGAACGATAGTATAAACCTCACCAAAAGAACACTAGTAGCCTTTTCGAAGAAAAGAAAACTCAATCTCAAAACCGTCAAATTAGACGGAATAGATTTAAAATGGAAAAAGTAAGTCAAATATCTAGGACTAACCCTGGAAAATAAACTTATCTGGAACATACAAGTCAATAAGGCCAGAAAAGCCCTAATGGTATGTAGAAACATTGCGGATAAAAAATGGGGATGTAACCTGAACACACTGCGATGAATATATATACAACAATAGTGAGGGCTATAGCATGGAGTAACAGAACAAGTTTAGCTACTACGAAAGCTCATATCTTAAAATTACAAGACTAGCTTGCGTTTGCATCACCGGTGCAATAAGAACCTGTTATACGGTCGTAATGGAGGTGATTTTAAACCTAACTCTTCTACACTTAATGATAGCGAACGTGGCAAAAACGACATAGAATGATCAGGAACGGAGTAATCAGACGAAAGACTATTAGCTTCAGAACCGAAGATATGTCCCAGGATGAAATGAGAAAGAAGTACAGTTTTGTAAAACATTGTAAAACCACAGAGCCAGGCTGCAAGAAAGAATGAAGCCAAGAATCCATCGTGCTTGCATCCGAAAGACGGATGATTCCAAAACCATAGAAGGAACTGGAATAGGAGTCTATGGGACTACAAAAGGGCACTCTGAAATACCCAAGCATCTTCCAGGCGGAAATTCACGCCAATGAGAAGAGTGTCCAGTTCAAAATCGAGCCAAACTATCGCAGACAAGAGATTATTATCATGTCCAATAGCCAAGCAGCCATTAAAGTGCTGAGCTCTTACATAATCAGCTTAAAAATGGTTTGGAGATGCCTGAATGCTAGGCGAAGAAAGTACAATTACTCTCACAGATAGTCTCGCAAGAATAAGGGCGTAAACACCTTTTGTGGGACCTCAGCCATTCTGCAGCAGCAGTAACATAATATTAGGGAAGATTAAAAAAGAATTGGGCAGATTGGGCAGTAAAAGAACCGATAATTGTAACAATCTCTTAGGGCTGACAGGCTAAGATACTTCTGGGTGAATATAACAAAAAAAAAGATCGAAAACCTGTAGCTGCCTAAGCAAGAAAAGAATAAGCATTGTAACAGGGATCCATACCGGGAACTGACGACTCAAAAGACACCTTAGTAACCTGAAAGTAGTAAAAGATAGTAAGTCTAAATTATGTTAGGAGGAGGAGGACGAAACCTCCATTTACATTCTGACTGATTATGTAGCAGTTCAGAATCCAAGGGCACTAGACTTGGCAGCATATCAAATAGAAGACAACAATCTACCTAACTGGAAGCCACTTCAAATTCTACATTTACTTGAGAAGATAAAGGGTCATTATAGACATGGAGACTATTTCCCCGGTGTTTAGTGACCAAAAAGGTACAATAGATCTTTAAGGTCGCAGCGCATTGATACCTCATACTTAACATAACATTAACCGATATTTATTTCCTGAGTGAGAACAGTATTCGAGGTTTGATCTTATTTGGTCCTTATTCATTGGCAACAGGCTATACAAGGTAGACACCATTTAATTTCCGTATACGGGGATCTGGTAAACCGCAAGATATATCAGTTAAATGTGAAAAATGTTTTTTATGTTGATTGGTAATTAAAGAGTTCTTATCAGAAAAAAGAATTAATCACCAGCATGGTGGATTTTGTTTGAAAGTAAGTACGCAGAATTGTGCTATAAGAGCTTTGAAATGGACCTGTTTTTTTTATTCTCAAACTTATTAACTAAATATTGACATGCAGTAATCTTTTGCTTATGACTTGAGTTTCGTTTCTTAATTTGCGACAGTGTGCTATTTCCATGAAACCAGACGAACTTAACACTAGTCCTACATAATAACAGAAACTGAGTATTGAGGCGATCCACTACCGCTCGTGATGTAACCATAACACATGTCGCGATTTGTCGGTTTAAGAATTTGTATCTCTCACTATTTCTCTCATTCGAATCGAACCAAAAATAACGAAGCTAGACACTAATATGGCCTTTTGACGTTTTTTTCATTAAATGATGGCATATCTACTTGACATTTTACATTGAATGACGTTTTTCCCGTTCGAATTGAACCAATAACAGTAAAAGGTAAACGCTGACGCTCTTTTGTACATCTGTACTCTTCGTTTACCTTATGGAGTGAAGAGATTAAGGTCAAAGTTATCATTGCAACGGATATCTCAATCTCCTTATTATTTATGTATACTGTATAATTTTGTACAGAGAGTAAAACACTTAAAAGTAGGTACTTTTACTTACCTTACAATATCCGTCAATGCAAATACCCCTTGTGCCTTTCGGTGCTGCTTTTCCAGTATGAGCGATTGGAAACAAACACGGCGTTCCATCGATAACGGTCTTATTAAGAGTTGCGAAGAAGTTCATCCCTGTAGCTCTACAGTTTAGAGCGCATTCGTCTTTCGCTAGAAGAAACAGAAAAATGATAAATGTATAACATATATTTATTAAAAAAAAATATGATGGGTATGATGCGACATTATGCTATGTTTTGGGAAAGCAGAGCAGATTACGTAGATTTTTTTAGATCATGATAATATGGTCATCGAGCAAATTGACTGTGGATGGAATGACCTAAGCAGATGCAACTCTTGACCAAAATATTAGGAGTTCAGAATGACAGTATAGAGATCTCAGTACAGATGTAGATAAAAAACTTTGTGCTTTTGAAAGTTCTAAAACAATAAAAGTTTTGCGAGGGAAAGTTTTATTCTGCACTTGTGCCGTCCCCATGTTCATGTAGGGACTTGTAGAAGATAAAGATAATTTATTAATGTAGGTATGTTTCTTTGGTAATGTTTCTGAAATTAAATTACTTTACAAGAAGTACTCATATTTAAAACACGTATTATTTATTACTATGAACCTCTCTCGTCCACAAGTAGACCTATAATAGTTTTGTTCTAACAACTATCCAAAACTAACCATTGGAACCAGGATTCTGCGTAGTATATAATTTAGTGCCTAATACTCTACTGCGCAGAATCCTGGTGACAATGACTGGTTTCTGATCATTGTTGGAACAATGTGGACAGAACTTGCATTTTTTTGTCGCGAACCATTTGAAGTAGGTATCAAAACTGTATACTCGAAGATCAAAACCCGATTCACCTCATAGACCAAGACGTAAATAGACGGGGAATTTGAGGTATTCGTTCGTTAGTCTACAAGATTATTACAAACCTCTGATTATGACATTAGAAAACTGTGGTTAAAATTAACCATAGATCTAGTAAAAGAAAGAGTATTTGCAGAAGTTGTTAAATATGAAAATCATAATAGTAAAGAATAATTACTAAAAATCAAAACAAAAGTAAATATCCTACTAATTTTTTTAAGAAATGACATTAAATGCTATAACTGTAATATATTTGGCAAAAAAAGTAAATATTGACGTTTTACAAAAAGATCTGATTCTAAAAAATACAAAGTTGGGTTGGTTGTAAATATTGTAAATATGTAACAAAACTTTAGGAGCAGGTAAATTTCATGAGAATAACTGGCACATGACGTTGGTTCTTCAGTACATTTAACAGGCCGAAAACATTGGCTTTTTAATTTTGTTCCAATTGAAAGTGGAGAAATAATTAAGGAGGTCCTTTCGCCACCAATGTTAAATAAAAAATATTAGATTATATCTAAAATTAATTTTTTTTCTAATAGTAGATGTCCTTATTTATCTAATAGTGAACTTTTAACTATACCTTACCGTGCAAATTTTTGAGAATTTTTTTTTTTAAAAATGTGTGTGTTTGTACAGTGTCTTATGAGAAAGTAAGACTTCAACAACAATTTTCGAATTATAATTAATTTTACTATTATTTATTGATTAGATGGAGTAGAAAAAAACTAAAAATAAGATTTTTGAAATATTTAGGTTTTGTTTTTTACAATAAAATATATAGGTTACCGTGGAATTTATTGAGAAATTATTATTAAAAAATCACAAAAAATTTTCAACTAGGTTACTTGAAAATTTTTTGTGATTTTTTAATATTAATTTCTCAATAAGTTCCACGGTTTACTATATATATTTTATTGTATAAAACAGAATCTAAATATTTCAAGAACCTTATCTTTAGTTTTTTTTCTACTCCATCTAATCAATAAATAATAGTATAATTCGAGAATTGTTGTTGAGGACTTACTTTCTCGTGAGGCACTGTACAAATACACACATTTTAAAAAAAAATTCTCAAAAATTTGCTAGGTAAGGTATAGTAAAAAGTTCAGTATTAGATAAATAAGGACTTCAACTATTAGAAAAAAATTAATTTTAGTCATAATCTAATAACTTTTTTTTTAACATTTGAGGCGAGAGGTGTGGCGAAAGGACCTCCTTAAATCATCAGGGGAAAATTTTCACTAGTAATACCACTAGAGGTCAAAAAATTTCCTGATATTAATTTGACCTCGCGTGGTATTCGGTAAGAAAATTCCACGCCGAATTATGGTTGAAAATTAAATATTTTTAAAATTTATTTTTCGTTTCTCAACAATGCAAATTATTTTCTCCAAGTCACCAGTGAAACATAAAAGGTATTGTCGCCTTGATTGTTGAGTTGTCATGGTAACTAAGTGAGACCCTAACCTCGAATATAATTTCAGTTTTGAAGTTATCAAGCGGCCCGACGTAAAAAAATGTTTCGCTGCAATTATTTAGGCCTTCAAATTGCTTATTTCTACTCATTGTAGTTGCATGGGAATACCATTTGAAAATAGAAAATAGTATATTCTTTAATTTTACGTAAGTTTTGAATAACTACAAGTGGTAGAAAATTGTTTTTCTGCGTTTTTATTAACATGCGTTATGAGCGCTTTAAAATGGTATGAAATTCATAACCAGCGTCAGCAAGCATCAATCGTAGGAGGCTGTGATCATTGTATTTTGACAGTTCAAAACATTAAATAACTCGCGTTTTGTTGCGATTAAGAATATTGCACAGCAAGTAAAACCAACAAAATTCCCTATTTGTTTAAAAATGAATCGATTTGAAAATCATACGCTATGCAAAATATGCGTAAAATTGTCTGATGTAATGATCAATCATTGCACCATGACTTACTTACTCGGATTAATTGAGGATTGTGGCTCCAACTTGAAAAACGAAAATTTGTTCCGAATTGTCCACGAATATTTGCACCTAAACTACGCAAAATTCAAAGTGCTGAATGGGAAAAAGGTGAATAAATTAGTGTCTAAATATTATATATATTTTATTAGACATAGACACATAATTCAAAGCATCCAAAGTCCTGCATTTTCGCCATTAATAAGAAAAGAAGTGGCCGAAGAATATAGAAAACACCTTAGCATTGTAACTAAAATGTATCAAAACTAAACCTATTTTGTGAACAAATAAAAACCAGTCTGTCAAAAATGGTCTGTTATTGTAAACGTCAAAAAATTTCCAGTATAATTCGCTGTTGGGTACCCCACGAGAAAAAAATTTCCACTAAAATACCTCCGTTGCCATGGTGATCTGTCAAAAACACGTATTTTGATTGGTTCAAAATTACAGGTGTGGAATTTTCAGCTAAACAGCATTGAAAAAAGTATTTTGCCGTTAAAACTACAGTCAGCACTCCAATAAGAGGTATTAGAAATGTTCATGAATTAAAATTTAATAATTTCATACAAACGACTTGACTGGAAAAAAATATTTAAGTATGTGAAATGTTTGACAATTATTTTTTAAGGACTAATATTGGAAAAGAGTTTTGCAACTAACAAATAAACGAATATCTAAAATGTAATGAAATAAGACATCAAACAACTGTAGAATATATCCCGTAGCAGAGTGTAGTAGCGAAAAGAGTAAATATGACTCTTATTGAAATAGCCCGTTCCATGATGCAAATTTATTATTTGGTTTATTGGTCTGAAGACCTTAATACTGCATGTTACTTGAAAAGAAGACGTCCTACAATTGCAGTGCAAAGTAGAACTTTCGAAGAGGCTTGGAGTGGTACAAAACCCAATTTGGATTGCCTGAAAATATCACAGCATTTGCACATATTTCTACCCAAAGAAGTGAGAAGAAAATGGGACTTTAAATCTAGAGAATTAATATTTGTGGGATACTGTGAAGATTCCAAGAGATACTGATTCTTAGACAAGAAAACAAGTAATCAAGTAATTACTTATTTTAGAGATGTAGTATTTAATGAAAATCAATATGCATGGTTCACAAAACTTCACCTACAAATGAAATAAAGAGAAACAAGTACAGAAAATGTAGAAAGAGGCGAAGATGATATAAAAAGTGAAATAAATAATGCAAACACGTTAAATGAGACATAAGCTCAAGATAATTATCATAATTATCAAAAAATTCTTGTAGGCGTAATCGATCAATCACTGAATCAGAGTGCATAGCACTTTCTCATATTACTAGAAGCTTTGTTTTTAAAAATTATAATAGAACAAATAACATTTTAATCAGCCTCCAAATATATTGAGTCATGTTACCATAAACTAAATCCCCGACGTTTTTGGTCATATATTCAATACAAACAAAATAAAACTAGGATTCCCGGGAAATTGTCATACAGTAACGAAACCCTAACCACTCCCCAATCTATTGTGAATGCTTTTGCCAGGCGTGTTTAGTGATGGATCTGATGATGAGATACTTGATGATGTTGATACAAATCCTAGTAATTTCCTTAATATTAGTTATATATCTCAAGATCAAATTATCAACGCAGTTAATAAATTAAAAAATAAGTTAACCTGTGGTCCTGATAATGTTTCATCCAAACTGGTAAAAAATTATATAGGTTTTTTGTCAGTTCCACTCTTTTACATATTTAATCGTATACTACAAGAAGAGGCCTATCAAAACATTTGGAAAATATCTAGAATCTGTCCCGTTTTCAAAGCTGGTAAAGTTTCTGATATATCAAATTACACACCAATCGCAATAATCTGTTTTTTCCAAAATTTTTGAAGTTATATTTTCTAATATATTATATTCCCACGTAAAAAGTTCAATCACGGAATACCAACATGGTTTTGTGAAGCTCAGAAGTACCGCGTTAAATCTGTGTACATTTACGCAATACATATCTAGTTCTTTAGACTGTAGAAATCAAGTTGACGTCGCACACACAGATTTTAGTAAAGCGTTTGAATTACTTCTGAAACTGAGACAATTTGGTGTTTCAAAGAGTATGCAATCACTGTTAAAGTCTTTTTTAACTTATCGACAGTTATATGTTGAATACGAGAGTGCCAAATCTATTAATTTCGTGTCAACGTCAGGGGTTCCTCAGGGCTCGAATTTGGGCCCATTATTATTTATTTTTATTAATGACATCTGTCATTCTATCAACTCTAAGAAACTTTTGTTTGCAGACGATATAAAAATTTATAGGGAAATAAAGGATACCTCAGATTTCA